GAGTCCCTCGCTCAGGTCACTCATGCTTAAATCATCAGCATCTTCTGGAGGATAAATGTTGTGTTCCTTGTTTATCTGCTGTTGAGTATCGGGCAGTGTGCATTGGGCAGTGGGCACTGTCATTTGTATGTTCATGATCCGAGACAACTAAAAAAGGGTGGGGGGGCAGAAGATGGCAAGTAATTCTGCCTATCTGGACTTTTCAATAGCTACAAGGGTACTTGCAGAGGCTGTGGACAACATCACGCTGTTATGCTTTCATTAAAAACACACAAACAGCCACCGGGACTTTCTGACAAGAGCAGATGTGCTTTACGTATTTTATTTATTTAAGGTATTTGTATGCCGTCCTTTGCAAGAGCCTCAGGACGGCTTACACAAATAAATTGTGTCTCTCTCTGAAGGTTGGCTCCAAACTCCTTCAGCCGGGTCTTCTATTACCCATTGCTGTGGCTATCTAAATTCAGGCCTCTCTCTCCCTTTTTAAAAGCTGAATGAGCTATCCGTCAGCATCCCCAACTATATGTACATCAGTAAGTCCGTTTATATCAAACCACCTAAAAATGTTACTGATCTAACTGAGATGGGTCAGGTGCTCAGCATTAAATATGCCGTGTGCCTATTTGAAATGGGTCCCTTGTGGCATCGAAATGCAGACCCTCCCTCTATTTACAGGTGACACAAATCCCATTAACTCTAGAAGGGAAATGCGGATAAGCCCTGAAGGCAAAATTCAGAATGCAACAACCAAGTTTTGATTTCGGGAGTTCTTGTTTTAGAAATGTATTATCTGCAAAAACCGTCTACTCACACAGACGTGATCACACAGGTTCATCTTTGAACTGCTTGCTTGCAAACATTACCGAACGCTTGATTTTTACGGGTTACATCCCACCTTGCTCACTTAGATCCGTTTTTCCTTCTTTTATGATAGCTAATAGCCATTTGGTCTTACATGTAGCCGGAATAGCTTTTATTGTATCACCCAGGCGGGTGGTCCCTTGCAGCATCCTAGCTGCGGCGTTCACTTTGGCTGACTGACTCCAAATATAAAATCAGTCCCAATAAACCGTTCTCTCATCCTTCCTCTCTCACTCCATCCCACAAACACCCTAACATAAAATGCTGATCTTTTACTTGTTCCTGCTCACAGGTAAGATACCCTGCATCCGTTACTCCTCAGTACCACATTTAACCCAAAGCGTACGTTTGGGGTGTGTTTGTGTTGGGCAGGTAAAGCACACCTTTAAAGATCACTTTTTTTTATCACCACCTTTGACATTTCCATCACTTAAAACACGCAGTTGCCACGTCTTCAGTCAACGAATGTCGAAGGAGTTAAAGTCACCTTGGGACAGGCAGGGGAAGCCAAGGTGGCCCCAGGTAAAGGGGCCTGGGGGGGCATCAGGGCCCCAAACATCTGTGTGTGGCAGGGCCGAGGCAGGATGGCCCTCGTTTTGCAGGGTGCAGAGCAAGCTGTGCCAGTTGTCTTCTTCAGGAAACTACGGCAGAAGGTGTGTCTGAGTTTCTGCAAGGATTAAACATGCCATGCAGAATAAATGTCTCAGTTTTCATTTGCCCTTCGCAATAACTCTAAGTGGACCCGCAGAGCTATGAAATAACTTGAGAGATTCAATATCTACATATCTTTAAGTGGGAAGGGAGTTTGTTTCTTCCTAGGAAAGTTCAAACGATACTGAAAAGGTCCCCTAAGCCCCATCATGTAATACAACAGAAACATAAACTGAATTAGTTTTCTAAGCTAAACAGGCACAATTATTTACATTTTAAACATCTGCCTGCAACAATATTTTGATTAGCTTCATAAAAGGCTAGTCAGGGCAGGGAAGAACTAGTTTCAGGCTTGGAGACTTGATTTTGCTTTTTACTCTTACCCCAAGATCCAACAGGTACAAAATACACAGACTTAGAATGAATGCCCAGAATCTGTTTTGGGTACAAGAATTGAATGGACATTGATATGTCAAACAAAAATGTACTCCTGGTTCCTTTCCATCTCCTCCAGCTTTCTTCATTTCAGCAGTATAGTCAGGAGGCGGTGCAGGGTTTATTCTATTGTTGCATTGTTAAACGATCGGCAGTTAGAAACCTTTGACATTACGTTATGGAGGTTCCAGTCTATCGCTTATGCTCCAATGCACTTGCGCTTCTCTGCACTGCCAGGTACCTTCTGCCACGTATGATTGCGCCACAACAGCTCTCGCATGGCCTTGGGAAAGAAACCGTGCGGCACGGCGAGCATGGCTTAGTGTTGTGTGTGAACACAGCCACGGACTACCGGAAGGAAGCGGAGACGGTTCGCCTCCTCGCCTCCCCAAACGAGCGTTCGGTGTCGGCACATGGCGAGCAGGTGAGTGGCCAATTCCGTTGCCGATCTTGATCCTCCTGGTGCTTTTTTTGTCCTAATTACAGCTTAGTCCTTAACCAGCAAATTTCGGGATATTTTTCGCAAACGAGTCCTTCAGCATTCTTGAACCAGTGCTTATGGAAAGTGAAGCAGTCGGGTTCCTAGGCAGTTGAGTTAAAAGCTCCTAAACGGCATCAACCAAGCAGGGGCAGAATTCAAACATTGTTTGCTTTTTCAGCAACTCGCAGTTGACCAACCACCAGCAGGCTGATGGGCACACAAATGGGAAAAGGTGATTCTGTGGGCAATTTTCTAAGCTACAACATTGCAGCGATTTCATTTGGTGAGCTATAAAACGCATGCAAGTCCAAGACGGTATGTTCAGTACATATCTTCTTACAATGCTCTAAAATGAGCCAATAATTCTTTCCCCTACTTTATACGTAAGGAACACAGAGTGAGAAATCGTTAGCACTAAGCCAGCGGCAGCAGAAAACAGGTGTGTGTTTTTAACACACTATCAAGAACCAATTTTTGGTTGAGCTGCGGGGATTCATCCAGAATTCTATTGGTGGATTCGGCTCTGCCTTCTGCCTACCCCGAGCAAAGCCACGTGACTCCAAAATAAATTTCATCATACTGAGTTTGGTCGTTGCACTGGAATAAGCACTGCTGTGCCACTTCAGATGGTAGGGAAATAGATTCGATAACTTGAGAGGAGTTAGATGTTCAACAAACAGTCGAGAATTCAAGTTTTTGGATAAACAACTCCTGACGGCACTTGAGGGCAGGAGGCAGGGCTTCGTGGTCAATTCTTTCCTAACGAAAGCTTTGCAGTCCGATGTCCATGAGTTTTTCTTTCCTGTTATTGATTCATGGTATTAGTTATAAATAGCAGAGAAGGTGGCGTCTTTGCAGGCAGCTCGAGTGGAAGATGAGAGTTTGGACTCTGGGGTCTCATTCTAGCTCTAATTGGTAAACTTTTTCACCCCCTAGTTAACAGTCGAGGAGAGATGCATCTCTTGGCATTTGGAGGACAATAGGGACGGGTGGGATGCTGGGAACGATTGCCGGGAAAAGCAGAAGGGGGCGGCAGAGGATGAGGGGGCTGGATGGGGCCACTGGGGTGGTGGGTGTGGGCTTGGGTGGGCTCCGCGGGATGGAGGAGGACAGGAGAGCCTGGAGGAAGGTTGTCCGTGGGTTGTCCGTTTGTGACCAACAACGACCGGACTTGTAGTCTGCCGTGGAAAATATAAGTCACGTCAGACAAGCCCCACAAGATCATACCCAGGGTGGAGCCAGTCCAGCATTCCGGTCACACAGTGGCCAACCCGCAGGGGGACATGAGTCCGAGAGCACCCTCGCACCCATGTTCCCCAGCAACCAGTGTGCACAGGCACAGTGTCTTTGACGCTGGAGGTGGTACCCGGCCATATGGACACGATGCCTTGTCGGGAAGTGCACACGCTGCATTTTCAAGCACAAGTATCCTGCAGCCCCAAGAACAGGGTCCATGCTGAGAAGGGGGGGGGGGGGGCAAAAGATCAGAGAGCTGAGGAAGGTGAGCCAGAAAGGGAACTTGGCGTTTATTATTAATTTACCACACTTCTGTCCAGCATTAATTGTCCTACGGGACTGTCTGAGCCGACTGCAGGGAAACATGTGTAGCAATGGAAACAAAAAAAACACATTATAGCGAGCAAATAACAAGAACGAAACAAAGATATACAAAATCCCCGAACAGCAGAACTGCTCCAAACCCTTCGGGTGTTCACGCCAAAGTTTGCAAAGCGGGGCGGGCCCTGGTGCGAGGGAGGGGCGGGAGGCGCGGCGGGCAGGTGCTGCGGGCGGCTGGGTCGAAGGCACGTGGCGGCACAGGTGGGCGACGTCCGCCCGAGAGCAGTGCGGCCCAGTGGTTAAGGCAGCCCCGCCACGAGCCCGCCTGCCCCCGCCACGTGGCTCCCCCCAGCCCCTGTACCAAGCCTCCTCCCCAGGGCTTCTCCCCCCCAGCAGCCCCCCCCTTGCAGGCCCCTGCAGCGGCCCGCGCCCCTCCCCCGCCGCACCTGGCCGCGCGCCTCCGTCGCCGCCCCCTCCCAGCCCCTCCCCCTCCGCGACGTAAGCATTTTGCGCGAGGGCCGCCGCAGCCCTAGCCTAGCCGCCTGCGCAAGCCCTCCCCCCAGGTGCGGCGCCCGAGGGCAGCGCCCCGGTCCCCCCTCCGGAGGGCGCGGGAGGGGCGCGCGGGGAGCCTGCCCCCCCGCCGCCGGCCGCGCCAGTCCCGGGCCGCGCGGGTCCGCGGAGGAGGCGCTCCCCAAGGGGGGCCCGCGGCCGGCCTGCGACGCTTGCGTAAGGAGGGCCGCCGGCGCAGGTAGGGGAAGCGCGGCACCTTGCGCCAGTTGCGTCGGCGGCGCCGGGCGGGCGGCGAGGCAGCCTCGGCTACGCCACTTGCTTGGCGGGCTGCGCTGCCGGCGTAAGGGCTCTGCCCGCCTCGCGCTCGCGCTCGCTCAGGTGCAGGGAAGGAGGGAGGGGGCGGGCTCACCGTTGCCCGGCAGCCCCGGTCCGGGCCCAGCCTATGGGGGCGCTGGGCGCTGTCACGTGGTCCCGGAGCCCCGAAAGCTGCCTGCTGCGGAGCCGCGAGAGCCGGACCGAGCCGGGACGGGGCCGGGGGTGGCGCGGAGGCGGGTAAGGACCCCCCCCCCGGGGGCGCCCGGGCCGAGGCGGGGATGCCGGGCCGGGAGCGCGCAGCGGGGCTGGGGGAGGCGGGGCCGCGCATTCCTGGGGGAAGCGTGCGCGGTGGGGGGGGCGGTGCAGTGGGAGCGAGGAGGAGGGAAGGGTCTCGATCCTCGGCGTGCGGGCGGTCCAGGGGGGCCGGGGGGGGGCGCGGCGCGGCGCGGCGCCGGGCGGCGCGGTGGGGGCTTCGGCAGTGGCCCCGATCCGCGCCCGCGCCGGGGAGCGGGTCTTCGCGGGGCGCAGCGAGGCTTCCTTTCGAGTAAAGCGTCGGAAGCGGGCCGGGGCGGAGGGGCTGCAATCGGGGGCCGAGGCGGGCGGCGGGGCCGAGGTGGCTCCGGGGTCAAGCGCAGGACCGGGCGGCGGGGGCTGGTTTGGCGGGGGAGGGGCGGGACCCGCGCGCGTTCCGGCAGCCTCTCGCGGTGGGAGGGGCTCGCGGAGGGGGAGGGGTGCGCGCCGGGGGCAGCGGCGGGAGGGAGGGAGCCCGCCGGGGGGAGTGGGCCTGGAGCCGCGGGGGGCCCGAAGCGCCTGCCCCGGGCCGGGCCCCCTGCCCGCCCCGGCCAGCATGCGCAGCGTCCAGGATGCTGGGGGCTGCAGTCCCAAGCCGGGTCGCGGCGGGAGGGCGGGCCGCGGGGAGCGCGCTGGGAGGGGGCGGTGCGGGGCACCCGCGGGGGCGTGCCGGCTCTCCCTGGACTGTGCAGGTGGGCTCGGGGCGGGGCCCGCGGGGGGGGCGGGGGGCGCCCGGGGGGGGGGGGCTGGAGCTTCGCAGCTTGGCCAGGAGGGCTCTCCGAAGGAGGGGAAGAGGGCCTGCCTGTCGCAGTGCAGGAGGCGCTTGGGGGGCAGGGGCTGGATTGGGGGGTGGCGAGGAGGGGTGGGGGCCCTGGCGGGCGCCCTTGAAAAGTAGGCACCGCATCAGGAGGCCCTGAGGCTTCCTGGGGAGGAAGAAGCCGGGGAGGCGAGGGCGTGTGGCAGTTTGACTGCCGTGCTGGGCAAGATGAGTAGCAGCAGTGGGTGAACTGGGCCTGCTGGTTTGGGCAGAACCCCAAAGTCACCCCTGGTTTGGTGCTTTCACGGGGCTCAGGCGGGGAGATGGGGAGCCCATCAGGCACCTGTCTGAGACACGTCCCCCCCACCCAATCCGGGCCCATGGTTCAAGGGGGGGAACTAAGCTTTTCTGATGTTTCTCCATGGGCCAGCCCGGCTTCCTTTCCTATTTGTATCAGCGTTTTAAGCGGTTGAGAATACGGAGCAGGGAGGGGTAGGGATGGTTCTGAGTGAATTTCCGCGGTGCACTGTTGTGTAACCTTGGTGTAACACAGGACTCTTCCTTAGGCAAGGCTACACTGCTTTCCAACGAAAGAAAATTCCCAAAGCTGTGCAAAACACGAAATAATCCTAGAAGACTGTTAAGGAGCAGTTTTGGCACCCTGGGCAGGCTCTTGGGTGGGGACGCTGTGGGTCGCCGGCTGCAGGGCTGGAGATGGACCGGTCCTTGCCTTCTTCCTTCGCAGCTGGTGTGGCGCTTTGCCTCAGTGGGAGCTGCATGGCGTATTTCGGAGGGAGGTGCTGGGACTGGCCAGGATGCAAACTGTCTCCCCCTCACCCGATCTTCTTTCCTCCCACGAAAAGCCTCTGCTTGACAGACAGACAAGCCCATCTTGCAGAAATGCACGGTGGGGGAACAGAGGGGAGAGGACTGCCTCCACCCCTGCTCTTGCCCTTATCGTGTGTCTGCCTCCAAGTTCAGGGACTTGGATTCATCGAAGGCACAACAAAGAGGCCTGCGCCTTAAACTGATGGTAAAGGCAGGACGGCTTCAGTTGAACTGCTTGTGGGTGGCCGATGATGCTGGCGGCCCAGGAATGCCCGGGAAAGCAAGATCTTGAATCGTTCGTGGAAACCCTCCATGCGCAAAGGTCTCCTGGTCTTACGTGGTGGGCACCAAAATTCCAAGCTCCTCTGCACCGTGGCCAAATCAGCTTTAGCAGGCTGGGGTATGGGGAGGACCCCACCCTGTGGGGTGGAAGGACTGTGGCAAACGGTATAAAAGAGGGCAGTCTTTGCGATCACCTGATCCCGATGTAGGATTTGGAGAACAGGAGCATCTCGTGCCCTTTCCTCCCAGCTGTATGTTTTGGACTTCCAAACAGAGCATAATTTCTCAGTGATTTTAATTCCTTATCCTTTTGTTGAGAGTGCGGTTCCTCTTGCTAGGGCAGGACGCTGCATCCGGCATGCGGAACGAGACAGTACGGCTTGTGAAGGTTTATCTGGCATTTGAAGTCCCCGCTGTTCCACACAACTGTGCGGTTTTTGCTCGTTTTCGTACGGCCGTCGAGGGTGTGACCCCCTTGTGGCGTGGAGGAGGTTGCAGGAGAAATCCACAGCTTGGTAGGGGGGCTGCCATGCACACCGGCTTCCTGGGAGGGACGCCGCTCAGTGGGATAAGGCGGTGGAGTCCTCCGTGGAGTTTGCAACTTGCAGGTGTGGTGGAAGGAAGCTGGCTAGTTCTTTGCATGTTGCTGGGTTGAGACGGTGTGGGCAGGGAGCTTGGCTGGCCCTCCTCTCCAGGGAGAAGCACGAACCAGAACGATGCAGTGCAGCAGAGGTGCTCAGTAACGTCAAGGGGCCTTGAGAGAGTTGGGGGGCTCTTTAGACACAGCGTTCCTTGCAGCCCCTCACCCTCCACTCTCAGAATTCACCCTCTGTGCAGTTGGCATGGCGTATTATATTGTCTCTCAGGCTGACCTGATTTTTCGAAAAATGAAGCATCTGCGCCTGCTTCCTGGTGGCTCCGGACATTCTGTGCTCTGCCGGAGCAGCAGTTCCAAATTTGGTGGCAGTTCTGTACACAGTCTTGAATTGTGAGTGTTCACGCTTCATTTTTGCTTCCTTCTCGCTCTGGATTTGCTGGCTCCTGATTACCGTTAATCATCAAACACAAGACTTGGTGTTGTGGGGGACATTGGAAGTGGAGGAGGAGGAGGAGGAGCAGAATTTATATAAGATGCAGGATATAATTTTGGGTGCATGATATAAGGAAAGGCATGGGCATTGACTCCGTCTCCTGATTTCTTGTGTTCATCCACTGTTCATCCAGCCGCGCCCCCCCCAAACATTGTGGGGTGATCCTTCCCAGAGAACTTCAAGAGAAACAGTATTTCTAACTTCTAGCTGCCCCCGATGGGTCTGATTCTGGTAATATTAATCTTTGTGCCTGATTGAGTGAAATGTATCAGTGAGCAGGCACTTCAAATGTTCCTCCTAGATTTTATCAGATAACAACAGCGTACCTGTATAAACATTGTCCTCATTATTGCAAATAACTTTATTTACTGCTGCAGGAAAGATAGATTTCTGTTACCTTAAAAAAATTAAGTGTACTGTTCTATCTCTTCTGTTCTTTGAAAGACTCTTCATAGAGGCTTCACTGAGACCAGAGTGGAGAAAGGTGTCCTTCAGATGTTACTGGGTTACAGCCCCATCCTCCCTTGCCTGATGGGCCTTGCAGGGTCTGGAGGGTTGCGTGTTTTCCATCCCAGTTGAAATAATATCTTTTTGGGTCAGGGTTAGGGAAACAGAGAACTTTAGAGTCGGGAGCGGCCCCTGAGGCCCTCCGGTCCAGCCCCCCGCTCAGTGCAGGCCCCCCCCCCCCCCCCCGCCCCCCCCCCCCCCCCGGGCCCCCCCCCCCCCCCCCGTTAAGCCATCCCATATGCCTGGGTGCGCCACTGCTGCTTGAAGGCCTCCAGTATTGGAAAGCTTCCGACGTTTCTGAACCTTTGGGTTGGACGCAGTGTCCCTTAACTGCGGTCGTCTGGATGGGCTCATCAGCCTTTTCTTTTGGGGAAGAAAACATAGCTCGCCTGTTCTCTGGTACGAGAAGGGCAGGCCTGGGAGAGCGGGTTCCAGGCGACATGGGCAGATGGAGCATCTTCAGTCTTTGTTGGCATAATTCCTCTTTAACTTGCTTGATTATAGGCACTTTACACACTTCCCCCGAAAGCTAGGAGTGGTACGTGTGCGTGGGGGGGTGTGGAGAATTTCCATCCTCATGGCAAGGCCCTGGGTGGGTTTGGCTAAGAGAATGTGTTTGACAGGAGCTGGCCCGGTTCATTTAGTGGCAGGACAGTGTTGAGGGCCTTGGTCTGCAGTGTTCTCGCCCAAGCTCGGTGTGCCAGACCTTCTGAGTCAGGGCTTGGAGGACTGACAGGCGGGGAGGACTGGAGCGCGTGGAAGGGAAACAGCCAGTCTGGAGTTGATTTTTCAAAAGTTTCCACCTGCAAAATAAGAGAAATCGCTGACAGGGAGAGTTTTGTGAGAAATCCTTTAGAAACTCGAGGCAGTGCTGAAATGGCTGCTTGCATCACCAGGTGGCTTTGAAGGCAGGCGGTTTGGCTGTTTAGGCCAGCTTGAAAGGACAAGGGGGACCTCTCGGTTTAGGGCAGGCAAATGGTCACTAGGGGAAAAGTAAGATGTCAGGGGAACACCTGAGACAGCCTGATTTGGGCCTAGCGGCCCTTCCGTTGGAATTACATTTCTAACTGTGTGCTTTTGTTGCTGCTGTTTTTATCAAGGATCATTAATCCACAGGCAAGAAACCTCTGACCAAGGAACATTCCCAGTTATTAATGGGAATCGGGATCGATTGGCTTTCCTAGTATATATGCCTTGACGGACCTTCCCAGCGTGGTTAGATCTGAAAGAGAGCTCCAGAGGCCTGGCAGAATGAAGTGGAGCTGGAGAGAGTGTGTCCTTTGGACCAGACGTTTTCCACCACGTTTTAGAATGGGAATGCAGGATGTCTGTCAGTCTAAGGGTCAAATTCCATTTTGGGCCGCATTCTAGTTGTGGGTAGGTCCGAAGGTAAAGGGGGCCGAACCGAGAGCAAAAAGGAGAGAGCAAAAATGCCAGAATATTGTAGCTTAAAGAGCTTATTGCCTCACTGGTAAAACCTT